GGGTGAAGATGCGGTGACGTTTCATTTACATTTTATTCCTTCGTATATTTAGGTTCATACCAGAAGTGGTTCTCCTGATTTGTTCTTTATAAATAAATTGAAATTTGAAATTGAAATTCTTTATAAATATATTGAAGAGTTAGTAATATGCTGATAATATGCTAACCCGCTCGCCTGTCGAGGTTAATATCTGTTCGTGTTTAGTTAAGGCCAGAGGAAAAGTACAAGGCTGTGTAAGGAGAGATTATCAAACTCTCAAAGTGCAAAAAGTGACACAATCGTAAGCAAGAGTGAAATAGTTTCACTCATGTGATCGTGTGTACTTGAGTAGCAACCCCTAGGAAAAAAAATGTATTATACAGTATTATGTGAGGGGTCCCGGCTTGGCCCAGGCTTTAAGTGCATTTGGTTTCCAGTCCATACTCACTCTCGCAGGTTTTCTCCGGCTACTCCTGTTTCCTCCTTCCTCTAAAACTGGACCTTCTTCCTAGCTCCGTAATGTGATTCGGATCAATAAAGGTCATGAATAAAAGCAGAGTTATTGGCGGAAATAGCCTTAGTGCCTTCAAACACTGCTGGTATGAACCCCAAAATATAATATGTAAATGAAACGTCAACGTTTCAGAAGGACGCAGCTGCAGGTGGATTAACGTTCAGCATGCACATTATGCTCCTTTTTATAGATGAGTAGGCCTATATCATTTATTCATGCAAAAACATGCCCCATCTCCAGTGAACAGATAAAGAATTGAAGAAACTCTTAATCTCTGTTACATTTATCCACAAACCGCTGTGAAAATATGACTCTTCTGTCAGCGGCTGGCAGGAGTTGATGCTGAACATGGATGTGATATAGATGAAGGTGTAATTCACTCTAGTAATGGTGTTGAATGTCGAATGAGGTGTACCCATTCTCCTACTGCTAATCTTTGGGATTCTTTCAACTAGCTTCTCTTACGCCTACCAATTCGACATTTTCCCTTTTTTCCTGATCGAGACCTTTCCGTTCATGGACACCCATGGGTCGACCTGTGAGACTTGTGCCATGTTTTAGTCCCGGTTCTGTTGGCGGTTCTCAGTTCGGAAGTGAATCCTGAATGCATTTTGAGCCTTGTAACATACTCTTTTTGTTTCATGGTACTTCGGGACAACAAATGCCCTCTGCTCAACTTAGGCTAGCCTGGCCCATGTTTGCAGATGAAGTCAAACTTGCCTACATACAGCATGCAACATGCTTTGCTGCGTCCAGTAGGCTAAGCACGTTACGCAATGCAGGTAGGATGATGTGTTGAGAAGGTAGGCCTACAATAAGAGCAAATATTGCCTACGCCCCATGTTCATTGTAATTTAAAATATCATCAAACTTGTCACAGTGCCGATTTCGATCAGTAACGTCGGTCTACTGAGTTTGTTCACTCATCTGTGTAACACCACAAGCAAAGAGGGCATTCTGCCTCTCCAGAGATACATATTTCCCTTCCTCATATTTGAAGTAGCTTTGCCGTTACAGAAATGTTTATTTCGGTATAATTTACGTGGACACCCTGTATACTAATTTCTTTTTCCTTTTTCTGTACCACTGAAAATGCATCGGTGGTTCCCAGACAACTGAAGTTTTTAACATCATCTTCCATGCACAGATAATTACGCTTAATCATCACACCAGGAAGTTAACAACGCCTACGACAGCCTAAAGGATGTTCTTCGAGAGATATGGAAGACGTTCTACAAGATCGTATCATGCGGCTCACGACAAAGTCATGCCTGGCCTTCCACAGCACACAGAGGGAATTATTACTCCCATCCAAATGTCGGATCCAAAAATGCCACGCGAAATCCAAAAATGCGACGCGGGCGATAGCACATAATGGAACACCCCTTCGTGCACGGCAAAATTATATAACAACAGGTCCCAGATAGAAGTGGGATTCCATTTTAGAGGAACTGCTAGAGACAAAATAATGAGCTTTTTTTTTTATTGCGTGATCGTGTTTACGTAATAAGTAGCAATCCCAAGGGAAGAAAAATAGATCCAATTATGTGTGAGGAGCAATGATCAAACTCAAAGTGCAAAACACTGCAAAATCATATTTTCATTTAAAAAAAGGCGAAAAACGTTTCCTTGGAGAATCCGGGTATCGATCCCGGTGCCTCTCGCATGCTAAGCGAGCGCTCTACCACTTGAGCTAATCCCCCTATTGCTTAGCATGTGCACTAAATATATATTTAACAATCATAAAAATTGCGCTGGTGAATGGGGCTTGATAATTTTGAGTCAGGTTTCATACTGCCTAGAGTGTGGAACAAAAGTGAAAAAAATCTATTGATTCATTTTAAAAAATCTAATTGGTGGTTGGGCGCTGGGACTGGCGTAGCCCCAGACTGGATCGGGCAGGACTCGCGGTGAAAACCACCTCGACCAACCGCTGATGGCGCTGTGCTTAAAACACGGATGTGTAGCCTGGAGCCAACGTCTGCACGCACGCACATGGACCGAGCCTGCCTCCATGCACGTGTGCGCTTGTCATGGATGTCGTCCGTCACTGTCCGTCATGAAAAAAAGGAACTGTGCCGTAATTCTGTCAAAGAAAGTCTTCAGTTGGATACTGAGCATATTCATCATTTGTTGTGGTTCGTTTAATTTTTTCCTCCAGCCTGTCATGGCGTCAGATAAACCTGAAAACAGAGCAGGTCAGTTGTCAGTCAGTGCTCGGGTAATGTTTACTTTAACTAAAAATACTGGTGATCGACCCTTTCGCGTTTACTAGACACATTCTCAGAGGGTAGAGTTTTAGCGGTCATAATTATCGTAGTTTCATAATTATCGTAGGCCTAGGCTTACATGTACACATATTCAGTTCTTTGCATCTAAAATAAAAGCTGTCGGCGGAGTGTCACAGTGTTTGTGTTTAGCATGATCGCCTGATCTGCACAGTTGCTAAATTTTGTGTGATGTCAGACATTGGCAGATGTGTCACGTCAATCTAATTTGCTTACACTGATCATGGAGCCTTTTTTATAGCTCCATGCACTGACAATAGTGCACCTCCAAGAGTTTGCTGGGCATTGACCAACCACAATGTGCGAAATCTGTTGACCCTTTCCAAACGCGCATTGGGTCGACAGATTTCCCGCATTATTGTGATCGGCCAAAACGCATTGCAAATGCTCGTAAGCCTAGGCACACTTTGTGAATTGCCTGTATTGTGGGAGAATGTCATAAATTACAAAGTGGCTATTGTTACATTAATCTTAACACAACTTCAAAATTCCATAGTTACGACCTACAACTAGGCCTACATGTAGGCGTACGCAAATACATGTACATGTCTTTGCAAAAGTTTAAGACCACTTGGAATGTTATTGCCTGTGAAATTGGTATTCCTGCCATTGTCACTGGGCCCATACTAGCTATTACTACGTTGTCTCATTGAATGATAATACATGCTTTTACTGTGGTGCATAACATCAGTGTGCTGTAGTGCTGTACCCATTTGAATGAAATATTTTGCAAAGGCAGGTCTTGTACATGTATACCAGGCAGGAAATGGGACAGAGGGGTACCCTCCCCCCAACAAGTCCAACCCCTATACACACTTCAGCCTATTGTCACTTAACATATCCCCCCCCCCCAGATGTCTGAAAAGAATTCCTAAGATGTGTGTACCAGTATAACAATGACCAACACAAAGGTGGGGGGGGTTCTCTCTGTCCCATAGTTTGCTTCATACATGTATGTGTACATGTATGACATTTTGTCCGCAAGGCAGCATGGGTAAAAAAAAAGCCAGTCTAAGGCCATGTCTGCAATGGGCTTCCAGAGCTCCGGCTAGGTCTATTGTCTGCGTATCATCATAAACCACTGCAAGGGAAAATTACTGATGTCTGTAGTAATGATGTCTGAGGGCCTAATGTTAGTCACATTTTTTCTGTCATTGTCTGTACATGTTTGTATATACATGTATGTTCACTTTGGAAGACCGCATGCTGTGCTCATCTCAAGCATGTCTCGAGTCACTAGCATGAGGTTCTGCTAAAAATGCTCCGGATATTAAAATAATTTCGTCATCAAATCTTTCGATGAAGAAATTCCTCCTGAAGAATATCCCAGCCAATATTTCACGTTGTAAATGCAATCGGATTTGGGGCCAAATTGCAGACGAAAGTGGACTGGAAATTGCCCCAGAATGCACCACAGAGCAGCTAGAATCCAAAATTTTTCGGGCCCCTTAAGCGGGCCCCGGACCCCACGCCTTAAGGGCTTGGCGTTCGCAATTTTGTCTATCGCCCTGCCAAAATTTTTGGCCGTGGAGAACTTGTTTCTCGTGGACTTGTTTCTCGTAAGTCAAATGTGTACACTAATTTTCTGTTGATGACTGATTGTTAAGTTTCCAAAATGCCTCTGCTGTGTTGATAAACCTTGTCACAGTGGACAGGGACATATTTACATGTAGGACCGAAAACAATAGAACAGTGATGTCCTCAGTAATAAGTGCCTGTGCTTAGTATGGTCTGTTAGATGGTATTATATTTTTAGGAAAAATGTACACAAAGAAACATAAAACCCCATAAATTTGTGGTACAAATCCTGTTTTGTTTCCTGCAGGTCCTGTGATGTTAATGGACCAATCAGGGAGTGCCTACGGTGGAATCCTGAAAGATTTCTCCCCCAGCTTGAATATTAACGATTCTGATGTCGCCAAAGTGATTAAGGTGAGTGACCAAGCTCAGTATGAATCGCAAGATCCTGTCATTTGAGGGGAACGATTGCTCATAATTTCCTAATTTGCTTTACATCTCAGGAAATGCCAGTGTACATGTATGGTTGCTTTCATGCCTCGTTTGGTTTAGTTTGCAGTGCAGCACATTGAAGAGAACTACCCTGCTGCAGTCCCCAAGGATCCTGGAGGAAAATCCACGGAGCCATTGGTGTCAGATCTCAAAAAGTTGGTGAGTATTGAAAGAAAGAATGGTGATAACCACACTTTACAGTGCAAAATTAGGGTCGTGACAAGCGAAATTGCATCTGTGTAGATGACATCTACGTAAAGATTCAGTAGTTTTGTACACATTCTGACGAAAGTTGGGCATGCCCACTCGTCAATGTAATTGTGCCCACCAATGTGCAGACAAAGCGTATCACCTCAGTCTTCAAGCATCCTTTCTTTTCGTGCAAGGCCAACTCTGAGATTTTACATGTTAGGCTCAAAGAACATGATAAATGCATGTAGGTGTACCGTCTTAATAGCTCTGAGAAAGCAGGAAATGTTACAATCCCTCCTGGTTCAGTAAGGCTGAGCTGAATATTCAAATACTTAGTATTCATTTTCATAATGAGTCAGTTCAGCATTTCAGAAAGCCAAGGTCTTTTAGGGTCATTCCACAAGGTTGGGGCACAATCTGTGACGGTGTCCATTGTTACGTGGGTTCCATGAGAGTGAACAGCTGCACGTATTTCCCTGCATGTGGATTCCAAATTGACATTGTTATACATCTTGCATGGCTGAATACAGAGGTGTGTGTTATTTTTACAGGGTAAATGACTTACTCTACAGGTCATGCCAGGCGGTAAAAGTTGCGGATGTAACACGTGACACTGTCATAAATTGTGCCCCAACCTCATGGAGTGACCCAAGTAACAAAGTGGGCGCGTGAGTCAGCTGGTAGGACAGACTATTGTGACCCCGAATAGCCTCATATTGGGCATGCGCTGTTGAAATATCAAACTGGCTCATCGGATATTTGAAAGTGAGAATCCATTTAATAAGGGAAAAAAATTGTTTGGTCACAAGATTGCATTCTGAGCGTTACATCTGTGTTTCATGATTTCACAATTACATGTAAACTTTATACACCTGATGCGTACGCCGGATAATTGCTCTTCTGTTCGGTTCGTTTTTAGTCTATATGGTGTGTGATGTCGCTTAGACTAAGAGCATATTGTGTACATCACCAATAAATACCAAAAGTCAGACGGACCCCTGCCCTAAAACTTGGTGTAGTGGGCCATTGCACCAACATGCATAGTTTGTTTCTGCTTGTGTGGGAATTGGTATAACCGACTATTTGAGTAATGGATCAAATGGAAGGTTGAATACTTGGACAGTCAATTGTTTAATTTAGCTCGGCCTTATGGTTCACTCGTACACTATCCAAACACTGCATCCGTGGTGAAGAAGAGAACACCCGTACATGTATTTTCCCTCTTCCATTTTGTCACTTCCTGCTCCTTTCTCGACAGATACTGCAGGGAACCAAAGATGGCAAAGCCCAGCACTATTTGGTGGAGAGCACTTTTGTCAGTGTCAAAAAACAGCAGTTTCAGCGCAGGAAAGCCATCTATGGCTTGACGTACTCTTTTGGCTTAACCTGGAGCAATGCCGCCAGTCCACTCAGACACAACATGGTTGTCTCACTAGACAGGGAAAGAAATATGTTTCTGTTTGAACACACTTTTTCCACCGATAGCAGTCCTGCCTCAGAAAGCGAATCTGATCTCTCGGCCACATCAACCAAGGAGCTGCCCACCGGCAGCCAATCAGAATGCCTACAAGATTCCGACAGTACAGCCGCTGACCAATCACAGTGCAGGTCAGGCACTCAGGACCTCTGGAGTTCGAAAAGGAGAACTGAGGCAGAAGAAATTGAAGATATTACTCAGTCCAGTGGACAAAACCTGAGCATCATCACCCAAAATATATGGAACTTCAACGGCATTTATGGGAGCAGTATTTCTGCGGATAACGTCGGGGCCTACACTCAGAGGGTTACGCGGTTAGGAAGACTTGTAGCTGACACAAAGGCTGATATTATCGGGTTTCAAGAAGTAAGGTTTGAAGTGAACAAGGGTGGCCGCCTCGGACCTTGCCAAGTGCAACAACTTGCAAAACATTTGCCTCAATACCAGGTAGCTTGTTTTGTAATAATAACAATGATACTAATACATACACGTATTTCAAAATGCCTTTCATGTCACAGACAAGGAATCATTAGTTTTAAAAGTTGCTTAAGTCAGTTCAAATTGAAAACAAGATCGAGGGCCTGACGTTTTGATCCAGGCAGAAAGATTGACCAGGCTTGAACGACGTGTCGACCCCAGCAGTAATCCGCTTCAAAGGCCTTGGAGAAAGATTTGCTAGGCTTGAAAGGTCAGGCCCTCCAGTTTTGACTGAACATATTTCAGGTCACTCTAGCAGCAAGCAGTTTAAATTCAGTTTTTGTATGCACATTTGACATTTCTTGCATAAATTCAAGCAGTTGCCGTAGCAATCTCATCTCAACTCTCTTTCCCAAATTTGTAGTTTGTGTACCAGCCGGCTATCAACTATGTTCCAAACAGCCTTGACCGGTCCGAGGAAGGCCTGGCCATCTTCTCACGGTATCCCATCCTGTCGCATGACTACATCCTCCTTAGTCGGTCAGTTCCAAAAGCGTACCTCCACCGTCTTTGTTAACCTTACAACAAAGGGCATTTTTGTATTTGGAAGCAATATGAGCCTTTCACAATAGTGGGCCACCGGGAGTTTGCAACGCATCGGCCAATCACAACGTGCGAAATCTGTCGACCCAGTGAGCATCTGGAAAGGGTCGACAGATTTCGCGCGTTGTGATTGGCCAACACGTTGCAAACTCTTGGAGGCACACTATTGTGAATCACCCGTATTGCGCAAGGAAAACTTCCAGGAAACGTTTTTCCATACATCAATATAGAATTTACTGTAACTTTTATACCATCCAGCAACTTCAGCAAGACTGAAACACTACTTTAAACAACATTCGTGACTCATGTTCAATGACGTGGACCAATCATACAGGAATAGTCGTGCATGTACAATGTCTCAAAATCAAGTTCCCATTTCTCATGTGTCGAATACCCTATTGGGAATGAGCTCGTTAACCTGTACATATCCACGTACACAGATGAATTGTGTCGTGCCCCCATCAACGCCAAACCTGTCGTAGTGTCCGTTCCAACTTTGAATTTTTGTGGCCATTTTTTTCTCCTCATGCATTAAGTTTGTCCGTTGCTATCTGCTTTGGGACGCTACGCGTGCCCTCGAGTCTAAAGATAACCCCTGGTAAGTTTTCCCTCGATTTTCTTGATTTTTTTGGGGGGGGGTCCATGTACAGAGATATGAACGATGAGGAGGACCAACAGCACCAGCGGATCTGCCTCCACGCTGAGATTAAGACGCCCTCTGTTGGCAGAGTAAGTACACACTGTTACATGTATTGCTTGTCTTAAACCATTCGTAATTTCAACTGCCTCGGAACCAGTGTAGGAAATTAAGCCTCGGAAACTAAAAATTTCATGGCATCTCAAAGCGGGGTCGGCTGGTAAGAAATTTATATTTCCAAGGGTGCACTTCTTGAATTCAGATTCAGTGTAAGGGTACATGTAGTGCTGGTTGAAAAAAATAGCAAGGGAGGTCACAAGGCATTTTGTCTCAAAGTGAGCAAAGCTTGAAAGGGTACTAGTGTGCACAAATATTTCGGCCATTTTGGTACCTCATTTAGGCTACAGTAGCCACACGGTTTTCTTTGTGCATTTCAAATTCTGCATTTGTCCAAAGAGTTCCTCCTTGTTTGAAAAACTTAAGGCTCGGCTATCAAACCGTTGTCACATGATGTGCATTTTTCCCCGAGACAGGTCAGCCGAAAGGTCCATACTTTTTCAGTGTGTGCTCGATGCACGTGGGCCGACACGTTTGGTTTGAGGTCGTGAACTTCAAGTGACCATAACATCTAAGAGTCATTCCATGAGGTTGGGGCACGTGGCCTAGTGGTTAGGGTTTGTAGCTTCTGATCATAGGGTCGGGGGTTCGAATCCAGCTGGTGGCAGCGCGTTGCGACCTTGGGCAAGTCACTTTACCCCCATGTGCCTCTCTCCACCCAGGAGTAAACAGGGCCCTGTAAGGGTAGATATGGTTATGTGATTAGCCGTGTGCGCCTGATAGGGCAGCAAGTTGCTGCCCATTACTCCCCAGGGTGCTGAGATGGTTTCAGGAATGTTCAGTTTTTGTGAGCCCAATTTGCAGGGATGATGATAATGCAGCGCCCTGCGCATCAGTTGTGATGGATACGCGCGCCATATAAGAATTATTATTATTATTATTAATTTGTGACGGTGTCCATTGTTATGTGGGTTCCGTAAAATTGAACAGCTGCACGTATTTCCCTGCATGTGGATTGCACATTGACATTGTTATACATCTTGCATGGCCGAATACAGAGGTGTGTGTTATTTTTACAGGGTGAATGACCTACTCTACAGGTCATGACAGGTGGTAAAAGTTGTGGATGTAACAAGTGACACCATCACAAATTGTGCCCAAACCTCATGGAGTGACCCCAAAACACTGCGTCATATTGAATTGAAACCTCACATTTGTACTGATAATGCTTTTATGTCCGTGTTAAGTTTAACCACTTTCTGCCGGGGCATTTATCAAATGTTGATGATGCTGGGGTGGGATATTTATCTTTTTTTTTCTGTTTTCAAAATTCTTTAAAAATTTCTGTCTTCATTTACTGGACACTTACAAACACGTGAAGGAATGTCTGGTGTCCACTCTAGCCAGACAGACAAAATCTATCGATGCCTGAGTATTTCAGCCAGGCCTGCAGCCTTGTAAAAAGAGCCCAGATTTTGTGGTGCTACATAATATTCTTTTGTTCACGAACCTGGCTCAGTGCGCGGCTGACCTCTTTTTAATAGGGGCCAGATTAGCATGCAATGGTGCTGTGTGGCTCATCATTGCGGTGGTGGAGCGCTTTTGTCCCCAGTGGTAATCCGCTTGCTCTAAATGCCCCAAACCGTGGTGTACTGTTTCAAAACAAGGCAGGATTATCTCCTCTTTTGAGAGTGAAAAAATGTCGGTAATGCCCAGCAGCCTGGTCTTTTGTTCCGAGTACGGTGTTTTGTTACAAGGCCCCGTTCCCTTAGTCCGAGTTCGGAGACCCCGGCCACGCATATAAAGCATACCTGTCCGGATCTGGAGTCCCTGGCAGGAAGTGGTTAAAAGCAAACGAGGCCTGTGACAGTCAAGTTCTTGGGCAATCCTTCCCCTCCCACCCCTCTGTGAGATGGTCAAAATACCCCCGGTACATGTACCGGTAACCCGACTCTTTGAGCGTTCAATTTCACACACCCCTTGTCCATTCGTACCTTGTGGTAATACATGCGCATTGTAGTGCTGAAAAACTGAAGCCAAACGTGGCATCTGCTGAAAGGTGCGAGCGCTGTACATGTAATTGTCACTGTGCATAAGTACATGTACAACTTTGACGTAGCTTGAGGATGGCGCGGCGGAGAACCAGGCGATGCTCGCGTTGTGTGTAAACAAGGAAAAGGGTGCTGAAGAAGATTTGGAGGGTATCGAAGATGCTCCCCACCGTCACGGCGAAGAAGAGTCTGTCGCTGTCCCACAGGATGGACAGGAGGAGATAGGTGAGGAACGGAACCCAGCACAAAAGGATCATGATCAGGTAGGCCACGATGAACAGGACCGATCTCAGCGGGTGACGCCTGGGAAACGGGGCCCCGCCTCGTCCAGTGCCCCGCCCCCAAAGATGCTCCAGTCGGACGGTCTCATCTCGGACCCGCCGCTGCTGCTGCCGGGCGATGCGGATCAGACTGAACACCAGGATGGTGATGGCTGCCAGCATCGGGGCAGAGACGCTGATCAGGATCATTTTCAGCGTCGAAAGTGCTGCATCTTGGAAGAGTAGATCCCCCGGGTGGCCATCCAGCTCTGTCCACGTGGCGAAGGACGTGATCGATGCGATGGTAACGCTGACCACCCAGATGCTCCCAATTATCATGAAGCACACCTTATTTGTCAGAAGACGCAGGTAGGTCATGGGACGGGCTATTTTGTAGTAGCGGTCGGCGGCAATCACCACAGAATTCAAGAAGTAGCTGCTGAGAAGTAGCAGCAGACAGCCATAGATGGTTGCACTGTGTTGGGCAGAGTACCCCTCTGGAGAGTAATCAAGAGCTGTCCACATCCCGAAAGATCCATTCAAGAACTGGACGAGGCAGTGGTTGGCCAGGAAGAAGTTGGAGATGGAGTGGAGTCGAGCGGACACGGCTATGGACGAGATGATCCAGAGGCAAACGACACAGGTCAAGGCACTGGCCAGACCAAGACCGACTTGCACCGGGACGAACGTGCAGAGAGCGATGGTGTCATTCAGCCCGGAGTCCATGACTGGCTTATCTGGCTGACTCTCCATCAAGACAGTTCTTGTGAAATTATCTGGAGGAGTGGCCAATTACATGTACCTCCTACAAAACAATGCACGAACAGAGATCTGAGTGATGTTGCTTCCACGGAGCCTGCCAATGGAGAGCAAGGCTAGCATAATAGGAAAATACACCTGCTGAAATCTGCCCCTTGGCCAGCAGAGTTCTTCAGAAAGGCTCTCCCTGCTTGCAACAAGTACATATATATGTTGTACGCATATGTAATGCTCTTCTAAAGAACAAGGGAACACTACTTGTCAGTGAACTATGAAAGCGATGATGAATTTCTGTGAAAGGCTGCATCAGAGTGGATCTACAACCGTAAGTGCTTCATACATGTTCCTCTAATGATTCACATCCTCTCAGTGGCTTTTATGAAAGGAGTAGATGGACTTCCTGTGGCGCTGTCATTAAAAGCTTAATAACTGCTTAAGGACGCATTTCAGGAGAGATAATGCATTTCAGTTTGAGGCGATGAGTCAGCACTGTTTGAATGAAATGAAGCATTAACACTGAGTGCCCATCTTTGCATTTAATGACGAACCCGGGGATTCATCTGTCCAGTGGCGTCATTCCTCACTGCTACATGTAAGCTTTTGCCGGTGTGCACTTAGCTGCTTACTAAAACGCCAGCTCGGTCCGTCAACCCGTCGACACTTATACATGTAAGTAGTCGATGAATCCTTGATTGATGGCTTCGCCTCCATCAGCAATAACACTGCCCCATCTATTCCTTGGGGCAATAACTGCAAGTGAAAAAGATGGCTCGGGGAGGGCAAAGACAGGAAACGTTGGAAAGTGGAAATTCGGGAATAACAACATTTTATTTTCAAAGCGCACATCGTGTTGATCATATAGGCTTACTCTCTTCAGCTGAATCCGACCCGACAGCGTCAGAAGAGATACATGTAATTTTCTCAAATCATTTTGAAAAGCCAAGTGGTAGGTAGTAATGGTGCACATGCATGCTAATGAAATCAAAATCCATGCCTGTTGCTCGAATGTAATGTACTTGTACATGATACCAGAGCCAAAACTTGTGCATACCCAGGCAGTTTGACCCCATTGTCCTTTGGATGGAGCCCCCTCCCCCATGACCAGCAGCCACCAAGTTGAACTGACACTCCACTTGCTCTAAGACAGGTTCCACTCGACAAAATGTGCAGTTACCATAGATACTGTACATGTACATGTATGTTGTCTGTACCGTCGCTAATAATAAGGTTGTTTGCAATGATACTTTCACAAAATGAGAAATCAGAATAATTTACCAGTGAATGTACTACAAAAACATACATGTATTTTACAGACATGTTCATGTATATACAAGAAAAAGTGTGCGGGCCAGAGGTAAGGGTTATAGTCACTCCCAAACGTAGGGTCGGGGGTTCGAATCCTGGCAGGTGGTTACATGTTTGGACCTTGGGCAAGTCACTTTACTCCCAATGGTCTCCATTGATCTCCACCCAGTACCTGTGAGGACCAAGGTATTGTTCATGTAGCTGTGCTAGTCATTTAGTCATTTGCGCCTTACATGTACAGTGTAAATAGCAACATTGTGGTGCATACCCCCTCCGAGGTTGAGACGGTGGAGAATTTCTGGGATGTCTCTGGGCCTTATGAGCAGAGATAGTAAAGATGTAAATTACCTTTTTTACTGGATTGGATTCCAAAATACACGTAAGTCAATTTTCCAAGTCCACATTATCATAATTCAAAAACACCATTAAAATATTCATACGCTGTATTTTAGCAGGCATACTAGTGTAGCAAGTGTCAAAGCTGTACTTTCGCAATGGTGAGATAAAATGCAGTACAAACAGAAGGGAGTAACACAGTAGCGTGCCAGCACACTTGTCTCGTGGGTGCAGCTTTCCAGCTCCATGGCTGAACACAATTAGTGCACGTACATGTACCTGAATGCAATCACTGTCTATGAATTGTTCACGAGCAATTAATGGAAAGGACGTGGTCAAATGGAAACAAATCTAACTTATTGTACCTAAACACTACACTTTTTTAATGAAACATTTCAAAATCTGGTACTTGTATTATTGGCCATTACTGGCAGTTGATATGCAATAGCTTCACTGTTTCTGTGGTACCATGGACACGATGGAAGTACAATGTACAAATGGATTGAAAGGGATTGTCACCTCTGTTGCTCACACACAAATTCAACATCAAATCTGAGGTATGTAAGACTTGGTTCTGCCGAGCCCTTATGCAAAAGGAGCACGGTACCATTTGCGGCATAGGGATGTTGATACATTTCCTGTTTGTTCTTAATTTGTTACCAAAAAGTGAGCTTTTCGCAAGGGGACCGGTACTTCGCGATGATTCACTCTGCATAAATACATGTACACTATTTTTTATGGTACAGTTGTACAAAGTTTCTTATTCCAAAACTTAGCCAAATGAAAACCTTAGTCGTCACCATCATCAAGCTACAGTCTTAAGCTAACCCCCCCCAAAAAACCCACCTCCAAAACCACTGAGATGAACAACAACGTTAAAACTTTTAACAAGTCAAGCAATACCCCCAAAACATCGAACATGGTGTCACTTCTTACAGAATTTCTTGTAGATTTTGCAAAGCATTTGTTGGTGCTCGTATTCCGTGAACACCAGAAACATAGTCCCCAAGAACATCTGCAAAAAAATTAGGATTTGGAGAACACTATAGAGAGATGCGTAGACCGTAGATTTGTACGTGACTTTGCTGAAGGCTACCACATGCGAGATCACCAACTGCACCAACCAGGACACCAGCAAGGTGAAGAAGTGGACCAGGAAGTACCAGGTTTTTTTATGATGCGGTCGCAGCCTGTTGTGTGTCGCTTGCTCGGGGTCTCTCTCACATACCGCAGGTTGCCGGTGATGCAGTGCCTTTCTGGAACCCTGCTCTGGCTGTTCCTCTCGGTTTTGTGTCTGCCGTTGTCCTGGCAGGTGTCGCCCTTGTTGCATCTTTTGTTGCTGTTGATCTCCCTGGCTGTCCTGGTATTCATATTTTTCAAGCTGATGTTGGGATTGTTGTCGCTGCTGCCGCTGCTGCTGCCCCCATTTTACCCGCTGGTGCTGGGGCTGTCCATTTTGACCTTTGTTGTTGACGCGCGCACCATGACGAGGGTTTTCCCGGGATGGATTGCTGTTGACAGACATGTTAGTTCCTCCGCTTCCGTCAGGCCTGCTGTGCTCATTGTCTTTGTCCTGCTGCTGCTGTTGCTGCCATTGCACCTGTTGCTGGGGATTTTTTCGTAAATGCATCGTTAGCTTCCTGAAGTCGCTTATTTTCCTCTGGTGTTTCCTCAAAATGCGCATGATTGCAATTATCAGTGCGATGATTGCGGTGACCGTTGGCAGAGACACCACATCGAAGAAAGAGTACCAAATGGTTTGGAATTTTTTCATCAGCTCTCCCGGGTCCAGTTGCTCAGCCGAGACGGTCGTTTGCAGGAGGACGAACATCAGCACACCAATAATCAAGGAGATAGTCCAGTCGACGGCAATGACGCTTGCGCATGTCTTGCCAGTCGCCAGATTAATGTAACGGAGTGGCCGAGAGACCTTGAAGTATCGGTCCGCCAAGATGACGACGGAGCTGAAGCAGAACGCACAATACGACACCATCGATGCAGCATTTAAAGCATCAGATGCATCTTTGCCGGCCGTGAACATGTACATCAGATTGTCCAATGCAGGGTGAGTCAAGGCGTAGGCAGATGTGGCAAGGTTGACTGCCGCTGCAAACATTTCTGAGGTACACAGGTTTCCAAGGAGGTAATTGGAAACGCTGTGCAGTCGCTTGTTGAGGGCAGTTGAGAGCACAACAAACACATACACTGGGAAGGTGACTGCACCCAGAATGATGTAGATGACATGTGACCAGAATGGAACCTGGTCCCATACTCCAGGAGATGTGGGAGTACTAACCGTGGTATTCATAGCGTTGCTTTCAATCCACCAGCTGATGTTCCGGACCACCGTGATTTCTTCTTTAATATAACCCTCCCAAGCCTGAAAAAGCCTGAAACAGTTGGCAATATTTCAATGTCCACAATGCAGTCTTACTGGTGCAGACTCTGTGGTCACACCTGTCGATTGGCCGTCAAGGTTCCTGCGGTGTCGCAACTGTTCGGTTTAGAGAGACCACAAACCAAGGCTGTACGTCCAGTTTTCCTCTTTGTTCTCTCTTCCAACGCAGCAACTGCTTGCCTTGGAACCATCTGAACAGGTTCTCCTCTCGGGCCTTTTTCATTTCCTCGATGACGGATGCAGGGTTGGGCTTATTGACAAAGCAATCTAGAAATCTGTCATGATCTGCAGATGGTCACGCCCTTGACGCCTGATTAATAGCTCTGTGCCTTTGTCGTCACAGTCAATCTCTTACCTTCTCTAATTACAACCGTAAACTCTGCCGCCAGATTGCATGCGTCTGCCCACCACTTTAATTGCGTCGACCCCAAAGTCAAAGTACTCGTCACACAATCATTAACCCTAACCCTCCTCAGTCCTCCAACAGGTGAAGGATTGAGGAGGGTTAGGGTTAATCAAGTGTACATGTACCTGTACATTAAAAAACCCAACCCTGTCCGTATCACTCATTTCTGCATCCATATCCACAGCGTATCCGCGGTTTTGGTATCTTGTCTTGTAATCCTCTGGTGTGACTCTCATTAAAATGAATTGAGTTGGACGTGCATCTTGTGTCGGGGGCTGCAAAGCGTACAACTCAATATGATCCATCATTCAGTTAGCACAGAAAATAATTACAGGTATGCTTAGCTAGGTCCAAGTTCCATCTTGTGGTGCTCTGACATTTAAAAACAGAGAACTGCCACCTCATTCGCCTCGAGCTGAAGCACCCCCCCTCATTGGTCGAAAAGATCCATGTTGGTGGGAGTGCTCATTCTGTTCATATCCGTACGACTGTAACGGGCGACACTTTTACGGACCAGCCGAGTGCAGTTCCCACCAAAGGAGTTTGCGTTGCTTAAAGAAAAAAAAAACATGCACTCTCTCTTGGCCCCGCTCGGGGTGGATATCGCATGAGCGGGTGATACGGAGGCAACATTGCTGGCATGTAAGACGGAGTCCAGAGTTTTGAAGCCAGAAATGGGGATTCCTCCCCCCCCCCAGTTTTCTTACGCTCGTTGTGTTGGCCTGCTCACAGGTTCACATTTTTGTGACTCACCTATCCCTGAGCGAGGCGGCGAGAGAGAGGAGTGTGCTGGAGATCTGGAATCACATGAACAGGTTCCCTGGACCTGCCGTGCTCATTGGTGACCTGAATGCGCACCCCCGGAGTAGAATCATAAGGTAGGCCACTGCAGTGTGTCTTCTGTCAGGACCATGAATCCTTTGGATATATACAAACTGTAATGACCATGAAATGGACCTTTCTCACGAAATATGCAAATAAGGCAGGCACATGCGCGTTACTACCACTGGTTGGCAAAGTTGCTTAAATCTATGACGTAACTATACAAATCTCTATGCACGCGCAACTATGAGCAGGTGCGCGCTATTTCCGTACTAGTATACATGTACATAGTTTGGCATAAGTGCCAAACAAAAAAGACAAGGAATTGTTACTTTCTTACCTCAGGACACTAAAAACTTTTAGTTTCCAGCAAAGCCTGCTGAAGTATCCCAAAAGGCTGCAAGATGGTTCCGATTGACCTTCAGTGGGCCAGGTTATGGTTACAGCAGGTCTCCTACTCTGTCGAGAGTGTTGATTGCCGCGCTTGCCAACCTGTGGTACTAGCATGCATGCGCCGGTCTAATTGGCATATTTCATGGGAAAATCCATTGTCTTTGGTGTGTGTGTACATGTTCCTTAACACTAACTCCCTGGGGTGATTACCTAGCAACCTCCCACATCCTTCCAAATCTCAATTCCATACATAGAAAAGTGTAAACAAACAGTTTGACTACATAAATTATTTATGGTAGATGTACATGCTTAATCCGACGTAAAACAAGGCCCAGTATACCAGTGCAGTATTTTGCATCCTAACAGATTCCAGCGAACCCCGGTGTTGGAGTTTGGCTGGTTTAGGATCATTAGGGTTAAAGCTCCCACCTCTGACTCAAATCTCAGTTCAAGTTTTCCCGTCTACTGCATGTACATGTACTTTGCTGTGAAGTGTGCCCCAGCAGTGTAACCGAGGAGATTTTCTTCGCACGCCGTGAAAACAGGTCATAGCAATTGTTACTGTCCAGCAAGGGGTATTGTTAGGCCACACGATTTTGTGTAGACAGTTTACATGTATAAGCTGCTCCGGTCCTGAATGCAATAGTTACATGTACGCGTACTTGTATCTGCCATAAATTAAACTCCAGGCCTTTATTGTGAACATTGCAAAGCATGTTAAAGATGGGATCTAAATTTCTGGATGTCCTTTAGAAGGCTCCTTAAGACTGATGGGTATGCAGAAAAATTGACAAAATTTCACACAATTTACGCCCATGGTTTTGCATGACAGGTTTCTGCAAGGCGAGCAGGAGATCGGTGGCGTCAAGACAGAGGGACTGCAAGACGCGTGGCTGTTGAAGAACAAGGAACCCAGGCAAGTACACAAAATGTTTTCACTCTAGTTGTGGTCGCCTTGAAATTGATACCATAGTCAACTCTTAAGCCCTAACACTCCCAGACTGTCTCAAATCCCCTGGATTTGCAGGATGCTTGGATCATGGGGCGAGTCCTGCAAACTATAAGAAGCAATCCTTGTGATCCTTTTGAATAAGTTCGGCTTGTTGTAACACCTTGGATCTGATGTTCAAACAGAGTAGATTACAATTCAGACATTGAAACTGAAATGCCAGCATGACCCTTTCCCCCCATCTTGGCTGAACTTTGTAACTTGAGGCGTTGTTGTAGTTGAGCCCGTCACAAGTCCCCGCACGTCCTTCACACGTCATCCAGCCTCGAGTCAAACGCTATCGGACTGAACTCTGACAAGCATTTCTTGTCATCGCTCATCCTTGTACATGCGAGTGGTCTTGTGAGAGGACTTGTGACGGACTTGACTACGGCTACAGCACTTGCCCGAGGTCAGACACCACAGTTTGTGAATCCCCCAAATCACAGCTCGCCATGTACATGTACATGTACACTTCAACTTTGCTCTGTGAACTCTGACATTAAACTGTGTTCATATGCCGACAGGGTTGGCAGAGGGTCTTATGCAAAGGGGGAGGCTCGAGACCCAGGACTGACATTCAGCGCGCTGAACGAACATCTCAGTGAGAGGGTAAATATTAACAGCCTCATCATTAATACATTTCTGATGGTGCCCCAGGCACTGTAGCTCGCAAGAAACCTGTAGGGAGGAGACAGTGAGAAGTACATGTAGTTACAGGTTCAGAGGTGGGAGGAAAACCCCAGAGGAATATTCTGGGTAAAACCCAAGGAATCACGTAGGGACTGAAAACCCAGTCCACATGCGGAATGAGCCGGGATTCGAACCCTGGCCACAGAGGTAGAAGGCGAGGGAAGAACCACTGTACCAACCTGACTCCCCCCCCTAAGTTGAAAGCTGCTTTGGCAGTGTTGTAATCAGATTGCCGGGGACTTTCTGACATCAGAGGTGCTTTTTTTCTCCTTTTTTTGGGTCCATTTGGGTCTTGTTTATTTCAATAAACCCAATCCCTCCCATATTGTTCAGAATTGATGCCTGGATCACTGGATTTTGAAATATTTAGGAAGCTTTCTGAGGTCCTAGCAGGAATACCCAGGTTGGAGTTGTTAGGGCAATAAGGTGAAAGTAACTACAAGTATTCCAGTGATGTTTTAAAGACAAAGTACTACTGTGCTATGTCATAACGTTTGTCCCCTTGACCCCGTCTTTTCTTTCGAAGCCTTATATTCAGGTCTGCCGTCATTAACTGCTTTGAAATTTCAATCCTCTCTCCAGCACTGTGCATTTTATTAAAATGTTATATGGCCTGCATCATGAGATCATTTTTCTTCCCAAAAATCAAAACAGTAGTGTTCAGGCTTTAAGTTTAACCCCCCATGCCTCTACGTTCCGGTGGCAAGTATTGATAAAATTACTGGTGCTCGTTCTCACCCTGCTAGATTGATTACATATTTGTGAGGCTCCCCGGCGACACGAAACTGGCCGACATCTCACTGGTCGACGACGGAGACAGAGGACCAGTAGCGGCATCCGACCATCTGGGTTTGAAAGCAACGATAGCTAGGTCCTGAATCTTGGACGTCGGAAATGAAGCATGCAGTCAAAACTTCGCAGTCCATGGAGTTGTTCAAGCTCATCTCATCTCATTGCAGGGATCTCACGAAGGCAGTGATCTCAGGGTGCCACACGTGTGAAAACAAGGACTGGCGATCACAGGAATTTCATACAAATACCCGACTCTGAGGTGACGCCTTGTCAGTGCCGGTGAAGTAGATGGAATTTTCAAATTTGGCTGGCTGGGGAAGAAGTACTGTAACACCGCACCCACAGATTTTGCATCTGCATTGGCCGAGGGCCAGTTGAATGGCATTGGCTAGTTTTGCTACCCTGCAGTGTCTGCCAGGGTCCCAAACTGCTGCACCCTTATGAAACCAAGCACTGCACCTGCAGCAATAAAAGTACTACACACACCACAACTGATTCTGTCGCAAATCCACAAGGGTTTCCCAAGTGCTGCCTCAACCAAGCTGGGCATAAACATTTTGCAGAGAGGTAGTTTGGGAAAGTGCTTTTAAACATTCCACAAATTTCACCCTTGAAACGAAGTTGATTGAACTGCATGAATAAATCGGTTGCTGCTCACATGATCTAACAGAAACTGTAGGAGAGAGATTTGAAAACAAAACTTTTTATTTGGTGGTGTGGTAAAGCTAGCCTACCTCAGCGATCCACGGAGCATTCTATTTCAATAAACAAACGCTCCACCGATCATCTCGGGAAGCTCGTTTTACTTTACCACCTGCACTCAGCACAATCAATGTATACAATGTACTACAGGCTTGGGTTTAAAATAAGATATTCCTATCATATGTACAGATGTGCCTTCAACTTCAATTCAAGTCTAGTTTTATACTTTTCTATTGATATTTATCAGGCCTTTCCCAAATGTACATAGTAACAAATGCACACAGTACTAACAAAAAAGCAAAGTTGATGGAGTATGGAGGGCCAAGTAGAGCAAGAGTTAACTTATTAATAATGGCCGCGAAGCGGTGAGATTAATCAGGGAAAAGAGATTCAGATTCAGCGCATACGTGTCTATAAGCACTTTTGAACTTGCCTCCCGTTAGTGCACAAGATGGAGTTACTTTTCTATTTTTTTTTCAATTTGACACATCCTGTAAAGTGCTCTTGCATGTACCTGTAAGTATGTCACTTCTAGGGAGCAAAATAAATCTTTCACGGCTCACGCATTGAGGCAGTGCAATACATGTATCATCTGCAATAGTGTGACCAACTCCGATCGAACGCACGTTAGTCGACGATGGTCGGATCAGTCCAGTCAGCTATTCGCGACCAGCCTATTGAGGTCGGTCGCGTCGTTGGTTGGCATAAACCGTTTTTAATAGCACTGCACAGAGAGGACCAGTTATAAGAAAAATGCCGGAAAAATAGCATGTCACTAATACACGACAATTTTCACTTTAATTTGTCCTTTTTTCCCTTCCTGTGGCCACCTTTTCTACCCTTCGGCGTAGCAACCTGACAACGGTTGACTAGGGTCGTTCGCACTCAACTTCACTGTACACTGGTATTTGCGCTTGGTATGTCATGAACCAACCTCTAGTTAACTAGAGGCCCTTGATCGAGCCTGCCAACCAGCGACAACCTGACAAGTAGAAAATATTACAACTCGCATCTAGTAATATTATATGTACATGTAACAGTACGTATTAAATTTGTTAATCTGTAATCCAAACGTTTCTGAGTTTGTCTTCATTTCAAGCAGGGGGAAGTGTTCTTCGTAAAGTTGCTTTAAGAATGCAGAAACATGAAGTGATCTAAGAAAATTCTTCACATGGTGACATTATGGCATTCTTGGGTTACTCACGTACATCAAATTAACGAGGACGCTGTGCTGTTTGTGGTTCTGACTGCTTTATGATTCTAGGTCGTCTATAAACTTGACTTGCGCCCTCGGGAAGTTAAAAACTGGCTAATATTATTTTGAGAAATAGTGCTTTCAAAGTTCCGAGAAAAATGTCACAGAGATTACACAAAATGGACCAACAGAAAGATTGCAAATTAAAGTTGTATTTGTGTACTGCAGCAATGGAGTAGTTCTCCTTCAGAAATATGCAGCTTTGGTTTAGTGTCTTTTATAAAATCCTCCATGGACAGTCGTTTAAAAAATGTGCAACATTTGAGAGTGCGGACTGAACTCCTTGAAGGATGAGCAAGGGTGACCAGCCATGAATAATCTGCATCAGGAACCCGACAACTCGACCTAGAGAAATGCCAGCCCTGACCCCCCCCCCGTTCGTCATCTGATGATGCTAAACATGTTGCATTCCACTGTGGAGAAGTTGGGCATGTGGTGGAAGACGTTGTCCTGCGTGGGCGCGTACACCTTGATCTGCCGCATGTGGGTGTCGCGGCCGTTCTGGTGGTTGGAGAGCGCTGCTATCTGGATCATGAACGTCCGTACGGGCCGGCCCCGAGCGTCGGCCAGCGGGATGCGGATCCAGCCGCTGGGCTGACCAAGCTCCAGCAGCTCCACCTCTTGGAGGTCGTGGAAGTTGTTGCCTACCCGTACCGAGATCTTGTTCGGCGTGTAGCTCTCGTCCGACTTGTAGTCGGCGTAGATGGCCACGCTGTGCACGGTGGTCTTGCGCCGGAACTGGATGTTGACCAGGTGGGGTTGCGTGCCGTCCGACTGCCAGTACGTTTCTGGACAGATGGGAAATCAGTGGTTTCTAAACAGTTACGTATCGTCTCACAACATGCGCTCTTAATGTTACAATGGTGAAGGACGGAAATCTTGTATTCAAATTCTCTCCAGTAGAAATGCATCCTATATTGTAACAGAGTCCACCATACATGCAAGTCCCCCTGACGTCCCTGTAAGTCCATCACATTATAAAGTCCCTACAAGTCCATCTCATGTCAACCAGTTGTAAGCCAGGTCACAAGATATATGTATTCAAGTGAACTCCCTCACAAGAACATTCCTTTGTCACTGTTCACCCTGTCAGTTATGATTGGTCTTGTGATGGACTCGACTGCTACGACCGTTTGTTAGAAAGCAATGTTTTCAAAAGTTCAGAACACCACCTTCTCAAATGCCTGTTTTTTATCATCACCGCGGATTCTTACCAACAGAGTCGTCTCTGAGCTGATTGACACCAAACCCTGGCTTGCACGACGACAGCGACCACACTGCCTGGTCCCCAATCTCCCGCAGCTTCATCTTGTCCTCCTCCAGCTCCTCTTGGTCCTGTTTGCCGCTGGCGCCATTGGGCGTCGCAGCCGACCCCGAGGTACGAGGAGGGGTTGCCATGGTGTCACTGCCTTGCCGAGGAGGGACGCCGCACTGCAAAACAACAAATGACATAAAGGGAATGAAGGCTGCACCGTATCATGCATGTGGTGCACTTCACAGGTTGAAACAAAGTTGTTTCCCAATCTTGTGAGTGAAAGTCTAAAAATTTCAGTCCGAAACTGGGGACCCGTGCAACGCAGACCTGTGCTGCACCGAGCTACACAGTCATCGTGGACGGTATTATGTTGCAGTCCGTTGTTTACTGCTCAAACTCAAGGAGGAATAAAATGACAAAATGGTCCGACATTTCTTCAGATACAGTAATGGAAAACTTGTCACACATGTACATGTGCATTACTTATTACTCTAGAATGGCACAAGCTGTGTGCATAAATTTTCCTTCGTTTGATTATAAATTCTGAGGTCAGGATACAGGTAGTTGATATTTGATCTTGAGCCAGTAATTATTTGCTTCTGGTTTCAGCCCATTAACTTTAAGTGTAGGAAAATGATCGTCAGGATTACAGGTAATATCACGCCCAACAAAAACACACTTGAAAAGGGCCTTCATTTAAGGAAGCGACAAGATCTCTTAAAAGGTTCATTTGGCCTATCTGTGATGAAAAATTCCACACACCTGTCCTAAAGTGAAGGCGATACTACCGATCACGGCGGACAACAATCGGCAAGTCTCGCGCCCAGTGTTGAAGAGCGCCCTCAATCTTCAGCATTTGGGAATAAAGCACCGCGCGAGGGCGCGCACTGTCACTGAATATCATGCGTCAAGAAGTTAAATTTAACTAGGCGCATGGCCAGCTTAGAGGCTGCGGCCTGGTGCTGGCGTGAGAAGTGGATTTTTTTTTTAACGAAACGCCACTTTTTGTCTAGTCCATTTCCCCTCCTTCAAGAAGCATGTAAATACCCCAAAATGTAGCCTCACCTCTCAGAAAGAACACAAAAGTCACATAAAATAATTCCAAGTAAAAAAAACCCACTTTTGCCCCCCCCTCCGAAAATTCGGTTCTGGATCCATCTCTGCTCCACGGTGCACGTATCGCTAGCTGTTGAAATACACTGGCGAACTATTTTGCCATTTCTTTTAAATCCAGACATATTAGAGATGTGTAAATCAACAATACCTCTTGAAATGTTTTATTTCCTCAAACCTCCTGAGGGACTAAGTCTGGTGCATACCTTGCTCACAATACTTTAATATGCCACAGGGGAGTGTGTGATACAAATGTGAACCGAATTCCCTCAAACACAAACAAATATTTTCATTATAGTTCCTTTCTTGTCATCCGGATGAATGGTGTCTGATCTATCCTCGGCATTTTGAATTTCAGATGTCTGCTAAACCTTGCCAAAAAATTTTGAGGGCATGATTCCTGACGTTGTTAAACAAGGTCTTGTGGAACTGTTCGTCTTGAGCGGGATTCTTGGAAACTTTCCGAGCGAATCACACAAACTGAGTGTTACAACGTCCTCAATGGTTCATGCGTCCATTTCGGCTTCCTTATCTCCGCCCTCTAAATCTTGTGGCTCCTCCCCCTCCTCTTCCTCATCACTCGACGTCTGATCAGCATCGTCACACTGCTCCAGACACTTGATGCATCCACAGTGGAACAAGTAGTTCTCTCTGTCGACCGATCATCCAGGAAGAAAACAGTGGCAAGGGATCAGGAATTTGACTCATTCAAAAAAAGGAAAACACTGGTTCATCCAACGAAGTTAGCCTAAATATCAGGTGTAGCCTAGTGTTTACACTCACTTGTAAAGGAGCCTCGTGTTATTAGTAACAGGCAAATATCAATATCGATATCAATATTTAACGGACCAAAGATTGCAAACATGTAGCTTATCATTTGAATAACTATCAAAGAAGGCCGATCTGAATTTTGATCTTAGTGGGGAAGCATCTTTACTGCTACGTGTATGTATCACTTAGCAAGTGGGTAGAACCAAGAAAAGGGCTTCATGTAATTTGCGTCAATTTACCGGAGTATTTTCTGCCTTGAATGACGACTTCTCACTCGGCTGCACTCGTCCAGGTAGCATATACAGATTTCCTGCAATGCGACCAGCATTGTTAGAAACAGCATAAACCTAAGACAAATTTTATACTTGCGTTTTACAAAGGAAGAGGCTACTATACTTCCGGTTATGTGCTGAACTTCAATTGGCAAGGCATCGATATCTCTGACTTTCCTCCAAATATCCTAGAAGGTGATGCAAACTTTCCAGCATGGTTTCCTTTGACATCACTTTTGTCCCTCTGACAGAAGTACTTAAAACAGGCCTCAAGAGGGCTTGCCAGCCCAGACTACAGGGAAACTGAAAATGCAAGCGTTGATGGACTCACCTCTCCCTCAGTGATATCTCGAAGGGCGACGGCAGTTAGTGTAGAGTTGTTGTCATTGAACTGAATCTCGGCGTTGGGCTGGCAACTATGATTACCTGCCCAACAGGACAATTGATGATACAATAAACCGGCCAAATGAAGTGCATTGACACTTGGCAAATGGTGGTAGGCCAAACATCCATACATCGGCAACAGTCACATAAATGCTGTAACAGCAATGCCTAGGTGCCACTTCACAGAATTGTGGTCCAATCAGTCCACAAATCAACTCACAAGTCATTTCACAAGTCAGTGCGGAACTAAAGAGATGAACAGTAACAAAGGAATTCCTCTGTCACGGTTCATTTAAATAGCTTTCGAGTTGACTTGTGGCTGAATGGCTTGTGACTGACTTGGGGTAATGTGCAGTGATTTATGACTGACTTGCGGTGATGTGCGATGACTTGTGACTGACTTGCGGTGATGTGCGATGACTTGTGACTGACTTGCGGTGATGTGCAGTGATTTGTTACTGACTTGGGGTAATGTGCAGTGATTGGTTACTGACTTGATTACAACTCTGCCACTTAATACACTTTTGCACTGTATGGCTGAGGCCATCAAGAATAAAGTTGTATTCATAAATACCTCAGAGAGTCTCCCTACGTGCAACTTGACTGTGTTTTAACATTTAATGCCCACTGCATAAATCATGTGCTGGCGCCTCAATACAAGACAGTTGAATTGATTCTGATTGGTCAAGAGTCTGTGTGCACACGGCTTGCCACGTGCACACCAATTGGACAATCTGCACAAGGAATATTCCAAAAAAATGGACGGGGGTGTTTGGAAAAATAAAAGTAAATTCTAGAACAAAATCGCTGGAAATCCATCATCTATTGACTTCTTTTGACTCACTGACACAGAAGGTATTTATGAATGGTAATAAATATGTGCTTAGCTGGTTTTAAACTAATGTGAAAGACTGGCTCAGGAGAACAAATGCTGATAGCGCCCTCACCTGCGGCTCAGGCATTCGTCTCTCCCATTCTCTTGAGCCAGTCTTAAATGCATGATTAAGACTGGTCAAGCACATATTTATTCCCTTAAACAAAGGCCAATTATTCTTGCAAGGAAAATTTCCATCCTTCAAAAAAAAATTGACCAATACTTAAACAAATGTCCAGAACAGAATTCCAACTTACAGCAACTTTGGAGCTGGTATAACGCTGATCCTTCACAGTTGAGAAATGTACCGGACTCTGCAATAACCAAAGTGAATGCGTCATGCGCGCAATTATGTGCGAAAAGACACGAAAGTGTGAAAAGTGGTACGTGAACGTACGAGCGTGAGTACTCCACTTGTTTGCACTACACTTTCAAGTCAAAATGACATGTTTTGGTACTCTATACATCGATGGAAAGTATTCATTTAACACAACACTTCCAGGTGCCATAACACGTTCACACAACAAAGACCTTTATCACTAGCGAGTGAGTTTTGGAAAATTTCAGTCATACTTCCACTGCTCTGGAGAACGCTTGGTTACCTTGTTCAATATCCACGTACAACTGGTCAATAAACGAATCCAGAGCCTGTCTCTCATCATCTGGCAAGTCCAAAGCATCACAGTTGTGAACGTAAACACTCAGAGAACTGGACAGCGGACCAAAGCAAGGAATCTTCAACGTCAGCAACATTCAGGGACACAAGTAATTTTCAAGTGAACAAACAAATGGGGAACATTTAAACTGGTAACAATTGACAGAACATAAAATGGCTTGAGAATGGCGAAGGATGTAAACAAGACCGGGAGACATCATCAATGCAACATTTATTGAATTCTCTTTAATGGGAATGTGATCCATTTTTTGTGAACTGAGAACCTGGCTGAGAGAGAGTGACAAGCTTGCCTGACCTCGTTCCAACGCCTTGACCGTTCATTCCGACGAGGGCAAAGAGTGACCGCAGCCCTTCGGCGGTAAACCACTGGAAAAGTGAAGGAATGCTCACATTTTCTACCATTACAAACTGCACATAGACAAAGTATTGTGGTGATGTCCTGATAGACACACATGACCATACACAAAGTATTGTGGTGATGTCCCGATAGACACACTTGACCATACACAAAGTATTGTGGTGATGTCCCGATTGACACACCTGACCATACAGATCAGATTCAAACTTTACAAATTGTGTCATTTTCTTGGGCTTCAATAAACTTTGGAATACGTACTGTACACCTGCAAATTTGAATTATTAAAAAAACAATTACAGTGATTAAGTGTAATCTAGAGGACTGCATAACTTATACCAGGTAGAAGGTTAAGTCACAAAAAGGACATCTCATTGTCATTTGACAAATTAAACGGGAGGGAAAGTAAAGGAAATGAACAGTAATAAATTTTAAAAAAGCAAAGAACCCATTGTTCTGTGCCAAAACTGAGGCAGGGGTGTCTTCTTCATTTCATATCTTAATTCAGGGTTGTAACTTATTTTCCATTGTCGGTCATGATGAAGGATCCAAGCTTTGCACCTACCCGACTGATGCAGTCCTCATACAACGCTTCGGCCAACAGACCCTGAAGTGCGTCAATCTGGCCCTGCGTAGTTCAAACAAATACAGACCACTCAGAATGCAATCGACTGAACCGAGGTGGGCAGAGACCAGAGCTTCTTAGAAATATCCATACAGGACATTTTGGTGTATGAATATTCATGACCGACCTGAAACTGGCTGCCCAGTAGCTTGTGGGCTAGCTGTTGCTCCTCGCTTTTCGCTTTCTGGCAAAAGTGGCCGAAGGTGTGTAGGACATGCTCTTTGTTCTTTGCCTTCAAACGTAGAAAAGACAGAGTTAGCATGGTAAATTGCAAGCTAGCATGAACATTTTCATAAGCTTTCCACGACCAAAAAAATCAAAGATTGTTTCATTAAACAAATAATTTTTTGAATAGTGGTTGAATTAAAACAGCCTGACACTTTGAGGCATGTCTACTTACTTGTTTTACAGTAGCGATCATTTTGTTGATTAATGTAATGCTGGCTGTCTCTGGGGGATAATGCATGTTTCTGAAGAAAAAAAATTGCCAAAAAAAGAAAGATTTAAAATTTATTGATATTTCAAATAATCTTTATTGCTAATCCCAACAAAAACGGCATCATAAATAAACACAAAAAACTGTATTCTATGATATATTCATACATGTCGGTGCTACATCTACTGTATCTACAGACATACCAGGTGTGATTTTTCTTGCAGTTAAGAAACGCCAAAGGAAAAAAGAGAATTTCTTTGTTGCACGTTGGATACCCTTTCAAGCCAGATCTTGGGTAATGATTCCTTTGGCAGTTCATGTTAATGGGAGACTTTGAGACGCATGGTGGTGGCAGACACAACCGTCCTTTTTGCTTGATGTGGGCATGCACGTGCAGTTCTAGGCGTGCTTGTTAGTTCTGAGCATGCGCACAACCACAGAAAAGGACCAGTTTGTCTGGTCTCCCATTACTTTGGTGTGCACAAATTAATTTGGGAAGCCTTACTTCCAAGTTTCTTGTAGGAAAACGAGAGGATGGTCTGGATCAGGGGGTGACTGACCCAAGCACAAGACTTGATGATACTGGGCGGAGGCATGATCCTGGCACTCCGCACTGCAATAGGGAACCTAATGCACAAACCAATGCTCGTCATCATAAAGAGTTCTTTCACTGCGTGGGAAACTAAGACCTTTATTAAAAGACCCTTTGAGTTGAAATTCAGAAGCATGTATACTTATATGTACATGAATGTTAGAAATTTGAAGTGTCTAGAATTCCAGGTTTTTGAATTTGGCGCACCCGCAAACAGTAGAGAGTTATGAAAGAGTTGACAGCAACTGCACTATTCATTACTGGTGAAAGAGTGACACACTGACACAACACCATCCATGCTGGGGTTCTGGGGCCCTTACACTGTTGAAGGGTAATTCCAACACTACTATACCTTAATGGCCGCTTCTAACTTAATACAGACCTCAAAATCCACCAGGAAATTTTCAAGGTAGGGTGGTGGAGAGGAACGAGGGTTGATGAGTAAAGAGCCCAGTCAGTTTGAGCCAGATATGTACACCGAGAAACGTGATACCCCTTGAAATTCTAAGTTCAAGAGCAAACAGTGGGAAAATTGGTTGCCTGCATAGAGGGAGACTTTAAAGGCCTGAGGGAAATCCCCAGCAAAACTGGCAGACCTGTGAGTTGTAGGAGTGGGTGTGCGTGGTGAAAACAGCCAGCAGTGGCCCAGATCATCTGTTCAATATATACCTGGCACTGAGGGCATGCGGTATGCCTCTCCTTGTGCACTGTGCAGCATTCAGGATGCGGCAGCACCAGTGAGGGGTTGCCGCTCAGCCGTCTGGCCATCTCCTGAGCCGTTTCCATTGAGCGCATACAGAACTCGCAGGCTGTGTAACGGTAGAACCCATTCCACAGAAACTGAGCACACACTAGGGGAGACTCTCTGAAGATTGTGTCATCGGACTTGAAATCCCCATTGGCAAACACACCTCTTCCCTGTTGAAATCACAAACATATGGAGCTGTTCTTCTTAGAATGTTAGGCCTAGTACCAGTAATTGCCTATAAACTAGTTCATACCATCTTGAAACTTGACTTCCTTAGTTTGAAAACAAGCTTCAAAGTAAGACAACGAAATAAAAAAGGAAAGGCTGTTATGTTATGGCAGACTGATCAACAGATGGTCATGATTGTCGCATGATTTAACACACTTATATCAAAGTAAGATTTGATGCTTTGCATTGTGGAAGAGACATGAGAAATGGGTTTGCGGGTACACCATGGAATCAATCTCTTTTGGGCGAGGGGTGGTTCTTAAAGAACCACACCTTGCCCCCCCCTCAAAAAAACTTTTTGTCCGAAAACTGGACCAGTTGAGCTGACCAAAAAATACAGCAAATCATAACTTAGAGCCCTATGTGGACCAAACATCAAAGCTCCCTTTAATCTTTTTCTGTTTGGTGTGCCATATTTACCCTCAGCTCATCGATAACTTTGACACAAACTCCCTTGTTTCCGTAAGCTCCATCAGCGATAGTTGTAGTAGTGAAACACATTCCAGTGGAGGCTGCCATCTTGATTCTAGAACCATTTAAGTTGGTGAATTTTCTTAGCTGTCAATGCGCACCATCGGGCATCCTCACAATATTTTTTCAAGCGGGGTACCAGCGACACAGTTGTCAGAGCTAAAGTTTTAGAAAGTTGAAAGAGAAACAACCAACGTCATTAACATCTCAGTGCCACGCGTGCTAGACATGCCCACGTTGTTTATGCATGCATTGCATCATCGACTACACGCGCGCCGACTACGATACGGGTGTGATGTGTCAGATTTCCTCGATCGAAGAAACTGTCAACATATGCCGAATATTTTGAGCATGTTTGGTAAGTGTCGTTGTTTTTTTTTCCAACTCCATGATTGGGAGGCTAGTAATTTTTTTCAAATTTTGTTTTCTGTTTCATTTTTGAAGTGGTCTTGGAGAGGATGTGATACGAAGATGAAGAAATATTTTGATATTTACTTAATTCCATCATGGAGGTAGGAATTTCCTACCTCCATGATTCCATCATGTCCATGGAGCTACATCATGTAGTTACATGTATAGAATTGGACTCTGCAAAGCCATTAACGGTGATGAAAGCAACGAAAAATAGATTTGAAGCTCAGAATGTTGTGCGACGTTTTTTGTACACGTCTAATGCAGAGCAAACAGCAATTATTTTGTACACAAAAGTACGTCACGTAGCCTATGTGTGAATTTTGACTGAAAAGCTCAAAACTTTTGTTTTGCAAAACTTTTGTTCTTATTCTTGCCTTCAGTCATGGAGGTATAAATTTCCAAATAAACAGCGCTCCTACTCATCTGCCCCTATCCATGGTTTGTAAATTGTACCATCAGTGATCATGGATACATGTAGGAAAGCCGTCTGTATTCAGCAGGAGCGTGAAAAGGTGATTGACATTTTTGTCTCGTGTGACCGTTTAAATTTTGTTTCCCCATTGCCGGTTGCTGGCATCAGACGTACATGCAGGCCCTATCTCAAGTCAGTGCGGGTCATTTTCAGCACAAGTCCGTTCAGTGATCAGGCCACCAGAAGTCACAGGGCAGAATTGGGCAAGAGTACGCTGTACTTCCCAGTCATGCCTGTGATTTGTCATGTTTGTGTTATGTCTCAAATGGAGAGCCAATCCAGTACAAAATTCAGAAAAGAGGAATACTAACGCTCCACTCGGCAGAGCTACCTTAAATCCTAGTCAGTACATGTACATACAGGCATATACCCCCTGCGTATGACGTCGCATGTATGTACTTACAGAGGGCATCTTTCTTAAAGATAGGTTGAGTAAATTGTGAATTCACTGTACGTGTAATTAATTTCAAATAACAAACAATAGCCTCTGACTCCGCCTTAATGTGCCAGGAGGTTTATATGGTCGGAGAGGCTTGTGATGACGGATTTTTGATGGAATTTTTTTTCAGTTGTGAACTGCCAAAACTTGAGCAGAATGGAAAATGGTCTGTCGAAATTGCCAATGGCAGTTGTGACAAGCCAGGCCAACTCGGCATTACAATCATATCCCGACTTATGGACTGTGACGTGAATAGTAATAAAAATAGAAACTGCAACAGTTAAAGGAATATACCGACTGTCCATAGACATGTTCCTCACACGTACAAATGTACACTACATGTAGTTGGAAGCCAGTGTTTCAATTGCGTTATTGCCCCTTTTTTCTTCCCACAATGCCTTGCTACCATTGTGCAAAATCACCCTAGCAGTATTTGTGGTAAGGCTTATTTATACATACACGTGCATGTACAATAATTCTGGCAGAACTACACGGTGCGCGTACATGAACTTGGTCTACAAATTGCTTTGTTAGGTTCTGTAGATTATGACAGTCCTTCCACATTGTGATCAGTGTAAATGTGGACATGCTTTTAAATGTTGCTTCTTTTTCCGTCCTTCAAATATCAGTGTGCAGGTACTGAGCAGTGGACGTTGAAAAATTCTGAGACTGATGTGACGGCGGTTCAGTGAGCTGCAAAGCTACAGTAGCTGCGCATTAAAAACGATTCTTAAAACCAAACTGTACGCTGTTCTAACTGTAGAACTTTGTGTGGGAGAGTCCAGAAAACAATTTGTGACTCAGTTATGGCAGGCATTGGTCGGCTCTTTCAATTCAGTGGTACTTCCCGCCAAAGACTCTCTCAGAGAGTCGGCACACGGTGGAAAAATTCCCAAAGCCCGGCACACCTGCACACATGGAAGGACGGTGCTGCAACGCATCAAGCTGTGCAGCAGCAGTGCAGCGGGGTCCCATGCAGCTCCCAGCCTCCGGCCAAGGGTGCAGCCAAGATCCCGGGAGTGAGGGGCATTTCCACCTCCAGTACGCAGAAGATTCGAACGGCGTATCGGTCAGATCTCAAGAACTGCCGACGGATCGTGCTCAAACTGGGGAGCGCGGTGATTACACGAGACGACGAGTGCGGCCTGGCACTTGGACGGCTGGCCACCATTATAGAACAGGTATGGTTGATGAGCTACAAATTTGTAAGCAAAGCAAGTGAAGCTTTACATTGTGGCCTCGTTGGCCTGTAATGTCCTTTTTGAAAAGATTTTTTGCAAGATTCCATTAGACCCAATTCCAAGTTGCTCTATGGAGATGGTGGGAACCTCATGTGCTTCAACAAAGTCAACTGATCAGCAACATGTACGATCTCACATTGTGTTATCCAATTCTGATGATTTTCTCCAAGCACATTTTTTCGTGCTGTGCCTTTTTTCATTGAATGAGGAAACAAATCATAAATAGCTTGGCACAAAAATCATTATAAAATAAGACGGGAAATTATGATTGTTTTTCTCTTTATGTATTTTTTCTCTTTTATGTGGGTCAAATGGACTGCAACCCAATAGTTTGATCACTTGTTCCTCTTGAAATCCCCCAATTTTGTCCAGGTGTCAGAACTGCAACAGAGCGGCAAGCAGGTGATGCTAGTGACCAGCGGAGCCGTGGCATTTGGCAAGCAGCGTCTGAGGCACGAAGTCATCATGTCACAGAGCATGCGGGAAACGCTCATCCCCAACCAAGAAAGAGTGAGGTTTTGATGCTCATCTTACATGTACATGTAGATGCACTTAGCACCTTAAAGGTTAACAGAAATAGAAAGCATTTAGATCGTGTGAAGTATTTGAAAATAACAATAAATACAAAACCATTTAGACAAATCATGAATTCAATGTTTTTCCCATTAATCGTGACCTCAAAATGAATAAAAAGATCCTTCCTTTCCCCGCCCACAAAAAATCCCCTTTTGGCCGTTTGCGTTCCTGGGCTGATTTGATGACGTCATCGCCAGAACGCCTACATGTACATGTACATTGCATGGTTGCACTCAGTACATGCAGCTTCGATGTAGTTTGGCCCACAGGCAAACACTGTCTCAATTCAAGGGAGAAATTAAAAGACAAAGTCCTAGCTAGCACAGCGTTTGCCTGTGGGCCGAGCTACTTCGAGCACAACGTGGTCTATTGCAAGCGTGCAAAATTGCGTGTACTGTGTGCAATCATGCAATGTTCGTGTACACTGTACATGTACATGTTCTGGCGATGCCGTCATCAAATCAGCCTGGAAGCGCGATTGAATTTATGATGTTCTTGAAATGGTTACGCATTTATTGTTATTTTTGAAATACATGTACATCACATGAATTAAATGTTTTCTATTTCTGTTAACCTTTAATGGATTTTTTTTTTTACAGATTTATACTGTCTGACAAAAATTTTAATGAAGGTTTTGTAATCAGGCATGATGGGATGATGACGTGTTATGGATACATGGGCTGCCCTCTCCCACACACACGTTTTTAAACAACTGTAACAAGCCTTTTGCAAATTAACTTTGACCTAAATCTGGTACACTGAATGCTTGAAATTCACGTGAACATAACAACTTGAATTCTCCTTACTAAAACCACTGTTGCTACCGGTATACCTCGTGATTCGGGGCAAGCTTTTGCTTAGTTACATAAGGGACGCCTTGCAACAATGCACTGTTCTCAATGGATAAGAAGGGCACAAAGGAACCAGTCCATTCCAGAGATGGTGGTCGCTATGCAAAAGCTTGCCCCGAATCACGAGGCATAGCAACAGTGTCTTTAGACTGGCGAATTTAAATTGTAATGTTTTATGCAGTCAGATAACTCAGTGCACCAGTTTTTATTCAAATATAACTTGCAGGTGGCTTATTGTGGCCCAACATCGTTTTTTTCATCCTACCCAAGAAAGAGCAACTGACCACACATATTAAATTGGTTTTGATATGCTCAGGATTTTTTTTTCCCACTGGAAAAAATATATTAAACAACCATATTTCTGGGAAGGAATTTGGGACTGGGAGGGGGACGTTATTTTGAAAGAAACTGTATGTATGTAAGCAGGGTGGCCAATTTTGTTTATTTTTTATTTTTTTAATAAAAAAAATGATTTTTTGTTTTCATTTAAATCAGATTTTTCTATTGTTATAAAAATTGGAGACAAGTCAGCTCAATTATCTAATTCAAAACAAGCAGATGAGCTGCATGTCACATGTGCATTAATTTTCTTTTATTTATTTTGTTTATTACAAAAAATTGCACAAGCTTTGATTACAATGTCAAACTCTGAAATGCACAATTTACCTGTAAATGAAGTGAAGTTAAATCATGATTGTAAATCAAATTCAATTACTGAATCAAAAAAGCTGGTTTACATGTAAATTGAAATGAGTGGATTAGATGACTAAAAATACATCCTTCCAACCCAGATTGTACCGTACATGTACGCTTGCATTTATGCATGTACTTCTTACCAATACTTGGAACTGAAAGGTTCACCACAGAGGGGGATTTGCTGCTTAAAATGTGAAACACTTGCAAAAATTACCAATTGATTGAAAGAATTAAAAAATTGAAACATTTTTACTTAAAAAAAAAAAAAGAAACTTGTTGATTTAAATCAGTGATTTACAAATGTAAGCTGTAAGCATGGTAAGGCCACTCCGAGAGTTGAAGAGTTGTGATGTGCATTTTGGTGCTTTCCACACACCTTTAAAAGGATAATAAAGTAAACAGACAAAAACTGTGAACTTTCATTAACCCCCCCCAAAAAAAGTAATTTGCTCCTTTTTTGGAGGGGGGGGTACGGTCCCTGTGGCCTCCCAGGAGTTGCCCTTTAAAATCAAAGGCATGGTGTTGGTAAAGTAATGTTCGTTTCATTTAAAGCAAATACCATGCAACCTCTCTAGCCTCTCTTAGTTTTATGCACGGGTGTGTACCTGTTATCACATACATGTACCTTTTTTTCCAACGTCATGTAAGAGGAAGCAGAACTATTTTTTTTTTTGGCATTATATGCATTGTAGGTGTATGTGTACCTACTGCATTGTATTTGTTCTCGTACACATGATACAAGACATTCTAAATTGAGTTCAGTCAGTGGCAAGCTACAGAATTCTGCTGTAATCTAACGCCGCCGTTACCAATTCAAGCAGACTAGGCAGCTCCTCAAGAGCTTTTCTACATTGACTCAAATATACCCAATTTATGAAAAACAGCACGCTGGTCGTGTACCATACATACTGGCTTGACATTTGAATCGGTGGATTCAGGAATCAGGCATTTAATAAACGCGTCTTACACTGTACAAAGAGCCAGTCTTGCGCGGTGCAGTGCGGTGCACCCCGGCTCCTTGAGTATACCACGGAGGCGGGAATTATTGACAAAAGGGGGCCCTCGGGAGGGGGATGCTGAAACACATCAATAAGGGACCCACATGCATCTTTCTCAAGGTTTGTTAGAACACAGGATGGGAGTAGGGTAACCGGTAGGGGATGGGAGGCCATGAGAAGATGTGGGATACGGGAACAGCGCATGCACTTTCAGCGCTATTTATTTTTTTCTTTCACGGAGGAATTCCTCTGGTTTTTTTTACCAATCCTACATATACAGTATATACCGTGAAATATTTGTCAAGAACATTCTCAAATCGTCTATTGTAGAGAACTATGGCACATAGCATTCCAGGAGGATTGGCTAACCTCTTCTTTCCTTCATTTTTAAAAAATCCTTCAGAGCCTGAAGATGGATTTTGAGGAGATCTGAGATTGCTTGGTTAAATTATTATTTTTTTAAAATGATTTTAAAGGAATTTTTTAATCATTTACTATCTAGTGCTGAATGATTAAAACAACACACCCCCTTAGCAGTACATGTATGCCTTACATGTGTACGATATCTACACTACACATGTACATTTTGTACAAACATTTACATGTACATGCTTATAGTACTGCCGATTTGCCTCACCACTTCGAGTATATGAATTCTTGTCCCAGACATGTCAATACACCTTGCAAAGTTGTCATCTTCTTTCCTATTGCATGGAGTTTTTTTTAAACTAAAACATTTTATGTTGAGTGGCTGGTGAAAATGTTGACACATCATTTAGCTACATGTAGTTAACTGCATTTGTTCAGTCGTGTGTATGTTCTGTACTTTGAGCAAATGCTAATAATAATGCTTAGAAATATTACGTGCTTAGCAAGCCTTAGCTGAGAACTGGTCACGACAGCATAAACTGCTGTCTATTTTCACTGGTAACCCCATTTTATTTGCTTAAGTTAATGTTCAGAGGCTAGCTCATTTCTGTGGCCCGCTCCATGAAGTTCATGAATTCCCCGTTCATTGACTAGCGTTAATGGAAGTCCAATAATGGGACACGTCTGCCACTGAGAACACAATCAATACAGTAGGCCTACATTCCCTCAGGGTTAAAGCCCATTACACATGTGGACGTTGGCATCCTGAAATTATTTATGAGTTGAATGGAACAGATCAGCCTCGGAGTGAAACAATTGATTTCATTGATTTGTCCATTTCATTAAACTTGCAGCATTTTTACCAGTTTCCATGTTTTATTGAGAAGCTCAGAAGGCTTGTGGGCACACAGTTGTGGACAGAGCTGTTCAGATGTACTCGTATACATGTATAAACATTTTACATGTATCCATGTACTGTGCTTTAAAAGCTTTCTTGGAAGTGTTGACAATCTGCAGATTACATGGATTAGGGGGAGTTTAATTGTCACAAATTGGTACTCGTACATGTATTTATGCAGCTTCCTGTTTCTTCAACAATCAGAGTTTATTTCCTGATATCACCTGTAATCTTAATCATAAACAAAATTTGTTCTGAAGAGTCTTGGTCAACAGTCAGTATTGTTGAGATGAGTGTTTGCTTTTGTCCCAGCTACCATAGGTGGTCTTATCACAGTGTTCATATGCACTTTTTAATTTCATACTCAAGATTTTGCATGGTGTGTATATATATGCGTTCATTTTGGAATTGGAGCACAGTGTTGATCTTGTGGGAATTGGATGGGTGCATGTACAGTACCTGTGTGTTAAATGTAATTAAAAAGTGATTCATGCAGGCTTTGTGTACCATGGAGTTAAATATAACAGGGTGCATTTGGCTTTTTTCTGACTGCAAATCTTATCAGCTTATCAATCAACCCTAACCCTCCTCAATCCTTCACCTGTTGGAGGACTGAGGATTGTTTCAAATCCTAATATGCTTGTTTCTGAAGCATTAACCTTGTTTACTACAATACTTTGATTCATATACAACTGCTATATGCAGACAGAGGAAGATGAAATGAATCAAAGATGCTGCCGTTGTGTTCCTAAATTATACATAATTCAGAATTTTGAAGTGACATGATGAAAGTTGAGAATGAGTTAATGTAAATGAATCCACTATTAGGCCAAGAAATGCTCTGCATGTATAGGCCTACACCATAGGTAGGCAACATTCCCCCCCCCCCATCAGCCCTGGGACAGAGAGAATCACTGATGAGCCACATCAGCGTTTCTGTTCACAGAAAACCTCTTGCCACCTGTCAGTTTTACCAGAAGTCAACCGAGGTCTTGAGCGTTAATACTTGTGTCTGGTGATTCCATATGGTCACTGGCAGATGTCCTTTATTCTGTTCTGTTCGTGTGTGCTATATTTTTTTTTTCTATGTAGTGCAGGTGCTGTGTCAGCATGTACATGTACAATGTATATGTATGCATGCACAGTGTACATGTACATGTACACGTAGGTCTTCTGTCGATATTGCATGCACCGTATAGAGTACTGTACATGTACATGCACATCTGCAGGTATGTGTACGTGCATCAGACAGTCAAAATCCCCAGAGGCAGTTTGAAACCGGGCGAACTCTGTGACCTGCTTATAGAGGAGAAATAAAAGGAGGTTAAGTTTTCTATCCATTTAAGGCAGACGTTCTACATAGTTCACAGACAGAGCTAAATGTAAAAAAACCAAAGTGTTGAATTGTGTTCATGTAAATTAGTTTAAGTTGGTTCTGTATGTGTGACCCGCTCTAAAAAATGGGTCGTAAGTTGCCAGATCTGGGTTGTGAGTTTTTGATATGGCTGGGTTCTGTACATCAAAAACTACAATTTGATATATGAATAACCCCTGGAATATGCTGCATTCTGGAGATATTTAGACATTTGTACCGGTATGTGTACAGTATATATATCCACATTTTTGGATTCAATAAAAGCACTTTTCAAGAAAAAGCTCACAAAGTGTAGCGCTTCAAAACACAATGCCATATAGGATTCCCTACTGAATGATCAATTTTTCATCTTTATTCATCAGTATCCATGTTTGCAGTCAAAAATTCTGAAACTATAATTATTATAGAAAGTATAAAAGGAAGAAACTCAAAATCACGTTTTGGAAGAAATTTGGCCCTCTGCAAATAGAAGAGGCCATTACGTGTTTTGGCATTGCCCGACTAATTTATTAGCCTTTTTTGCAGAGTGGGTCACATATTGTATGCCGTCACTAGTGGCTTATCAGAATTATACCTCACAAAGGTACTGTCATTTTGCCCGGTTAATATCATATTCGCAATTCTCCAGGTGTAAAAGCCTCCATTTGAAGAAAAATGGCTTTGAATATTACAGAAATCGGCTTTGAAAAGTACATTTTGCCCATGGATGATGTATATGATGCACACGTTCATGGTACATGTACATGTGTGTACATGTATACAATGTACAGTACATGTATGCACCTCTACCGTATGTTCACAGCTACGTAGGCAGATCTCTACACTTCCACCAAAGAATGATAACTTTTCCATCAGATGCCTGCAAACTACATGTACAAGGAAAGACCGTGTAATATTGCATGTTTTGCTTGTTAAGTACAATTTAACTCAAGCAGTGACCCATTGTTGAACTTGTAAGCACAGGTACATGTTCTCGGCATAATAAGAAACAATCATCCTTGATTGTGAACAGATGTGGGCAACAGGTGTGTGAAAGTTTGGATTTGATTTGGATGGGGGAAAAACTAGCATCTGTTTTTGCCGTGTCAACCATGCGAAACATAATGTCATTTGTAAATTTCCAGTAATTAACACTGATAAAGGAATAAAGCAGTTGTACATGTGCTTGTACTCGCATAATATGCATTGACAAAATGCTAAGTGAAAGCAGCTCAGATTACTCATCAAAACTTACATGTGCACTTTGTGAACTGAAAATGCCAGGAGCAGGTACATAGCATGCATGTACCTGCAGTGTACATATATAGTGTCATGGAGGTAGTGTGAACGTTGTGAACAAAATTGATTACTTCTAAAAAGCCACAGATTGAACTCAAATGGGGCAAAACTTTATGTACCACAAAATTCTGTCTGCAGATTAAGTGGGCTTGAAAGATTCCATTTAACAGTAAACGGGAATGTTGATTCCACCAAACGCAAGGTGGTTGGATCCGGACTTGATAGGACGTATACAGTGTACATGTATGATTAACTTTTCAACGTTTTTTTCAATGAAAACTGATTATCACAAATGAAATGCCCATCACAAAAGGTGCCCATCTGCTGAGAATAGAAGTTAGAATAGAAACGTGGCTTAACGTTGAACCATGCGTAAGCCTTCCACCACAAATTTATGCTGTTGCTGTGCAATGTACAGTGTACATGTGTTACCCGTATGTTCAATTTCATGAAAAGTTGCATAGCAGCACCACGTTTTAATAATAATAAGTTTCTTGGATGAGGACAAAAATGGCTTTTATGATGGCCGTCCTTTCCTAATATAACAGCAAATATCAAAAAGTACATGTAGTTGAAACACCTCCGTCCGCCATTTTTTGTCGGAACTGGACAAAAACTTCTCGCCGTTTTCTCACAGCCAAACAGGTTTCTCATTACCATCTGCAACAAAGTTGTGTGCAGAGATTTCTCATGTAAGCCTTGCTAACTTGATGAGGCTTAACTGAACAGCACTTTCCTTTATGCTTCATTTGCCGGAACTTACGCCACCTAAAATGACTGTGTAAGTTATACCATAATTTGTTGCATAAGTCGCGGACTTGCATGTACGGTGGGCAAGTTTTCTGAAATCGGTCTTGATTTGTTGCGCAACTTACGCAAGAAAAGGCGGCATAAGGGGAGTTACACCATTGCATAAAGTTTGGTGAAATCGGTTGCAGATGAAAAAAAAAAATACCGTGGGGTATAAATGTACCTGTTAATTATGCAAAACTTTGAAGTACAATGTACATGTACTTTGTCTTAATTCTATTAGATCAGCATTGACAGGTTGGAAACAATGACAAGCTAGGCTATTAAAAGCGATATGATTTTTCTCAAGCCTAATCCGATGTGCTGGCTCAGCCAACATTTTCCATATTCTCAGAGATGTAATGGAACGATACCCGATTCAATTTCCTGTGTTTTCCCCTTTTGGCCTCAGGGCAATTTTTTATTGGACTCGCGAGCGTGTGCTGCAGCAGGCCAGAGCGGACTGATGTCGCTGTATGAGGCTATGTTCTCCCAGTACGGCCTCACCACGGCCCAGGTAAGTGAGGCTTCATGCTTTATCAGATCACATACAATTATAAATTATACAGTTGTTAATCCATTGTACGTGTACAGTGTATATAATCAGAGGGTAATGAAAAATTACAGTTCTGGCCTAGTCGCCGAATAATAATTATAATAAGTGATGGATAAATACTGCTTTATTTCCCTGCAAGGGGTCGTGATGCATTTTGTATTCTTACCCCTGTTCACTGGGCCATGAGATCTGTCTCCTGTATTAGCTTGAAATCAGGGGAGGCTGTTCTCTACGCTCACATGCACCCATTTATTCTCCTAATTGGGGAGAGGCAGCTACCATGACCTGTCTTGCCCAAGGAGGACAAGCATCATGGTACCATGCTGAATCAAGCTGGGGTCCCCTGTGCCCAGTATCTATACGGCATCCTGATTTTTGTATGCACAAAGACGGGTGCATGTACGTGAACACACATGCCGTCTTGCGTCTTCAGCACATCTACCGTGTAACAATAAGGTGCTTGCGGCAAACCTCCTCCATAGTACTGAGCCAAAAGAACAGGTTTGTTAACTAAAAGTGTGTTCATTCCCCCCCCTTCCCCTCCCCCCCCCGATGCATCTGCTTCCTAGGTGCTGGTGACCAAACCCGATTTCTACCATGACTATTCTCGTAACAACTTGAGGGGGACCCTGAACGAGCTCCTGCGGATGAACATCATTCCCATTCTGAACGCCAACGACGTGGTGGCTCCCCCGCCCGAGCCCGACAAGGACCTACAAGGGGTGAGGTGCTGGCAAAGGTCTTGAAGACAGTGGGCCGATGCCAGCAGGACGTGCTTGAGCGGGGCTTGTTGGATGCACAGAGTATCTGCGATTATTGGCTTGCACAGCTGAGCCCTCCTTTGGTCTTACAGCACAAATTATGCACGAGTGCCCACAGGCACTCTCTCGCATGTGTTTTCTGTATGGAACGCAAACATGGACAGGTTCAGTGTGTACACAGTTGGCTGCCAGCACAAAGTGACCCAGGGNGTTGGGCAGCACAAACGTGCAATCTGATATTCCTGTGAGGGACAGTTGGTGCAGTGCACAACACAACACAGCTGTGCTTCTTTAAGGTGTTTACCAAGTGACCCAAAGAGTGACTTCAGCATAGGAGGGCTTTAGCTAATTAGTAGTGAAAAGTGCACCAAACGGAATATGGTAATAACAACCTGGTTGGGGAACTGAGAGGCATTGATGTCTGCTCCGAAGGGAACGGGAGAGGTTGCGTTTTCACATAGAAGTGACTTTCCTCTGGTTAATACACAAACATTTTTTCTGTTTTTTTTTTTTTTTTGCGGGACATGAATGGTCTTTACGCCTTCACAAGCCTGGGGCCAATTTCATAGAACCACTTAAGCACAAAATTTGCTGAAGCGCAAGAAAACCTTGCTTAAAAAACAAAGGTTATCAGCTCAAAATCTATGTGATTGTCATGCTAACCAAAAGGCAGGTGAATACCATTCCCAAATAATATACATCACGTTGAGTTTTGGCTGGTAACCTGATTTGTCAAGCAAGGCTTTTTCACGCTAAAGCAAATTTTGTTCTTAAGCAGCTCTAGGAATTTGCCCCCCCCTGTTGGTAAACTTCCCTCCCGAGCTGTCTTTGCTTTACCAATGAGGGTGCATTTTGATGCAGGACATGATATAAACTGAGATGACAATTTACAAATGGGAACACAGCATCTCCACTGTAACACAGACAGTTATTTCTAAATTAATTCTCTTGTTAAAGTGCAGTCCTTGTGTGTCATAAAGCTGTCTAATTTCAAGGATCCCATCTGAATACTCCACAGTATTTCCTAGGTAACTTATTTGGTCTGGCACTTGCAAACCATTTTCTAGCGTACAGTTTCTGCCCATTACAAGGACAAAGAAAGAAACTGACTGACGTGGGTTTGTAGTTCGTCTCACTTTGTCAGTCCCAAATCCTCAGATTCAGCATGATTTTGCATACATGCTCACCCTAGGGGGTTAGGGTTAATCTGGGGTGCTTGTTCAAAGGCATCAACCCATAAATACCTCATGTAGCCGGGGATCATGCCGTAAGTAACGATACAGTCAACAGTGGGAATGTTTCAGATTTGGGGGTTGTTGCCCTTCAACTGCGTGGGCTTGTTGTATATATATCATTTTTCCCTTCAACTGTTCGACGTCCAAATCCAAGTCAACACGTGGTGTTTTCCAACAGGTCATCAGCATCAAAGACAACGACAGCCTGGCCGCCCGGCTGGCTGCGGAGATGAACTCTGACCTGCTCCTGCTGCTCTCGGATGTGGACGGCATCTTCACCACCCCACCGGACCAGGAAGGATCCCGCCTACTGGACACCGTCTACCCGGGTGACACTGCTAACATCGTATTTGGCGGGATGTCCCGAGTTGGATTGGGCGGAATGGAGTCAAAGGTACGTGTATTTGCATGTTGTATTGTGACAGTTCAATACTCATATTTATACTCATTTTCAAACTTGAGGAATCAAGTACAAGAACCTGTGTCCTAAAAATGTACTTGAGTACAAATGTAGTTTTGTGGTACTCGAATATGTACTCGCTCTTGAGTACTTTTCGTCAGTTCTTGCTCTTGCTCTTCTTGAAAATGTACTTGAGTACAACTGTAGTTTTGTGGTACTCGAATATGTACTCACTCAAGTACTTTTCATCAGTACTTGTTTTTGCTTTTCTTGAAAATGTACTTGCATGGTAATACAGCACTGCTTGGCTAGACAAAAGTGTGAATCTGTGTATTGCCCACTGGGTACAGGTTAAAACCATCTTGAAAAGACGTGATCTCATTTCAGCCTCAGCACTGTAGGTGCATACTGTCTGTAGGCCTTGATCTGCCCACTCATGTAGTCTTCGTAATACCTGTCACTGTGTTAGTGGCTTATTTTCTGTGCTGATGTTGTCAGGTCAAAGCAGCCAACTGGGCCCTGGAGCGAGGCATCGCCGTGGTCATCGCCAACGGCATGAGCGAGGGACAGGTCATCCTGGACGTGGTCAAGGGGCGGAAGGTCGGGACGTTCTTCAGCGAGACCAAGCCCTCGGGCCCGTCCCCAGACTTGCAGGCTGGCAAGGCCCGGGAAGGTGGCAGGCTGCTGCAGTCGCTCAGTCCAGAACAGGTTGGTGGATTTGTCTGGCTCCCAAGGCCGCTTGGTGTGCGGTGTGAACACGAATGCAAGATTGTGATGTGGGATCAACTTTTCAGGCTGCAATTTAACATATTTCAGCTCAAAGGAATTTCACTGCAAATGCTTTCTGAATCAAATTCGCTTCCCTCTTACGTTTACTGGAAGTGTATTAAAACGATCTTCATTCAGTTGACTACACCTCTGCTGCTTCCCCTTCAGGCTCCTTTGAGCAAGCTAACTTTAAACAGTGAAACAACGAATCTGAGATCAGTTTCAAGACTTGTCCACAATCATTTTTGTGTCGTATTTTCTTTGCACAGAGGTCAGACATTATTAATAAACTTGCTGACCTATTGGAGGAGAGGTCAGATGAGATCATCACCGCAAACAAACAAGACATGGATATGGCAAGAATGAGTAAGTAGGGCTGCTGGATGCACAGACAGACAGCTAAAAAGACACATGAAAGAGGGACAGACCATTGTCAGGAAAGCTGAAAGTACCATGAAAATAACACTTTGCTCGGGGGAATGATTCCAAAGACTA